ATAGAAGGTTGTAAAAGGTTGTAAAAGGTTGCTATTTCCAGCAGTTATAACTGCATTGAACAGCATTGTATCGGTCTACACTTCCACATAATGTAGCTGAATGTAGTTAAACTGTACTTTGAAATTGCATTATGTGGCAGTGTAGATGGGGCCCCAGTGCTACATTCCAATCACATTGGCTCCCTAAATAATATACAGCTTATGCTATACACTATTTTGTCTTTACTCCGAATGTGTTTTTCTGCTTGGAAGCAATTATCCTTGGCTTTGTCTCTTCCCTGCATTTTCTCATAAGAAATGCCACATGCTCTGTAGTTAGAGAGCCTACCGCCCTTGTAAATGGGTAATATTCCTTCTTATCAGGCCTCTGCATATATACACCATATTTCCTTTCTGCTTTTTAAAAAAACTCAGATCACATGGAACAATTCAGCCTTTTGGAGGGTCAAATGTTTTCTTTGCAGGATCCTAAAAAAAACAAAACAAAACAAAACAGAACAAAACACCAGACTGGTATTTGAACCAATTACCATATATTCCGGCATATAAGGCGACTGGGCGTATAAGACGACCCCCAACTTTTCCAGTTAAAATATAGAGTTAAGACGACTCCCATGCATAAGACTACACCCATGTATAAGACGACCCCTGACTTTTGAGAAGATTTTCTTGGGTTAAAAAGTAGTCTTATATGCCAGAATATACTGTAAATAACATTGACAAAATTGAGACTGCTTGAAGGTGGATGAGATTAATTAACTTAATGAGACTGGATAGGATTAATAAATGTAGGTTCCCATATCATATTGTCACAGTGTTCGTGTGTACGTATCCATCAGGAAGGCTAGGATGTGTATATTTTTCATAATGTTCATAATGTTATGCTGGGGAAAGTGGAAGGCAAAAGGAAGAGGGGCCGACCAAGGGCAAGATGGATGGATGGCATCCTTGAAGTGACTGGACTGACCTTGAAGGAGCTGGGGGTGGTGATGGCCGACAGGGAGCTTTGGCGTGGGCTGGTCCATGAGGTCACGAAGAGTCGGAGACGACTGAACGAATGAACAACAACAAAGAAAAATATACATATAACAATAAAATAACTCCCCCAAAAGCTGTATCTAAGAAGTAAGTAAAGCAATCAATTAACTGAAAAGATGCACAGTTCAGTACACAGAAATACATATGGAGCACATGGTCTCACACCCAAAAATCTCTAAAATGATAAATATGCTGGTTGGGGGACTTAGGAACTTGCCCTCCCACAGTTCTGGTCAATGGCTGGGTTTCACAGACTGACAGTGCCTCTCTTTGGTTTCACTTAGTCTCTTCTTGCGCTGCCTGAACATGCTAGAGATCGAGGCTGACAGTGTTTGTATTCAGGCATGTGTTCTGCAGCTTAACTACAGTCCTTCCCATGACCCTTGCAAAGCTACTGGAGATTTCTGTGAGCTTCATGTCTCTCGAGGCTTCCCTTTTGAGTATTTCCTCATGGCAAAGAAGGCTTAAAGTTTTGGCCAGTGCTCACACTGATTCCACACTCCCAAATGTAAATAGAAAGCTGGGCATGGCTCTTGATGTGTGATAGCTTTCCTCTATGCCAGTGGTTCCCAACCTGTGGTCCGTAGACTACCAGTGATCCAGAAGAACTAAAATATGGTCCATGGCCTCACCATTGCTACACCATTGCAACAAGAGCGACTGGTATCGCGAAACCCTCTTATAGTGCTGAAACTTTCTGTGGGTGAGCAGATGGTGACTACTGGATGGCATATGTTCTGTATCAGAAACTAGAGCTGATCTGATCTATCCAGTGTAATGTTCTGAATCACCACCCCAAATAACCAAACCAAATCTAAAGATGACCAAAAACCGATTTGTAACCCTTTTGCTAGTAATGTTGGAAAGTGGTCCCTGGCCAAAATAGTCCTTGGTCAAGTGGTTGGAAACCACTATTCTATACCATGCGTGGGAATGATGCGCCACCAATCCTAGAGAATAGGATGACTGGTGTTGAGAATTATAGCTTGACAGCATCTGGAAAGCAGCATGATTTCTACCCTTGCTCTATTCCAGGGCTTCTTAAAACTTTTCCCACTTGTGACCCCATTCCACCTGAGTATATAGGTAGATAAAATAGGAATAAAATCAGACATGTCTTGATAATAAATCTGCATTTGCAAGGCTTTTTAAAAAGAGGCCAATTTTTAATGAAGTACATCTGAAGTATTTTCTACAAAGTCCAATGCAAACACTGCAGGTTGCTGCTAACACATTTGTGCAAATGGGTGGCATTCAGAAAACTTTTGCTCTTGCCATTTTTTGTGACCCCAATGTTGAGTTAAGTAGACCCCAATTGGGATTGGGAACCACAGTAAAAGGCAGTGCTGTATACAAAGGTTGAAAAAAGTGTGACTCACAGGCTGCATACAACTACAACCTCATGCTGTGGCCTCCAAGCTCACCACAATCTCCAAACTCCTCAAAACTCTTTTTTTAAAAAAAGGGATGCAAGTCATTCCAGAAATAATAAATAGTCACTACTGGGTGGCAGTATACTTTTTATATGCTGACATCTCACCCATCCTAAAAAATGGGCCAAAAATGAGTTGAAATGTAAAGAAGTGCAAGTCAGAGGTAGACTCTTGGGGCAAAAATTCAGGGGTGTGGTCCACTGTGGTAGTAAAAATGAGCCAGCAGTACAGTTCCCTTCCTCTGACGTACGTTTATGTAGGAAGGTCAGAGGATCAAGAGCAATTTTGAAGATGCCTGAGACCAGAACAGCAGGAGAAGGATGCAACTGCTCATAAATTAGCAAAGCAGATCTGAAGAACCAGCAAAACAAGGACTGTTCAAGATCTTAACTTCTCCTGTCCATATTAATACAAAATAAATGGCTTTAGGCACAAAGTATGTTTTCTCTTTCGATATCAGCTGAAAAGGGAGTTGAAGAAGGGTGTATCCCACAAAAGTGAATACTGAGACAGCCAAGTTTTCCACACCTTTTCAGGGATGGGAAGCACCCACCCATCCTATTGCTCTTAATGTTCTCTAAGGTCTCGGAAAAGCATTGTTCTGAGAACATTTTGGCAGTCCTGAGGCCATGTATGAGAAAAGGATGTGATGATTGATTATTTTGAACAGCCTTTATCCTACTCTTCAATCTAGACATGGTTGCCAGTGTGGGACTTAATAAGAGCAATTAAACACAACAGCCAGTGGCGTCACTCGGAAGGTGTGAACCTCTCTGGGTGACACCATCAAAAAGGGTCACATCAAAATAGCTGCTTGTAGAATTTTGTGGCATGTTTCAATAGAAATGTATTGAGTTTTTCAATTAAAAAAATACCCAGCCAGTTAGATATAACTATAAAACATTTTATATGTACTATACCAGTATTCCTACAAGAGAGCTAAAGCTCCTGTCGTGATTAACTGTTTGAACTTTCTGATGTACATGTGCTCCATTCAGAGCTGTCATTAACCAATTACAATGATGCTCTGAATTATTTGGTTTCACCTGCATGTGCTACAAGCACACACTAGTACTTTTGTTGCTGCTTTTTTTGCAATTGCAGATTTTGTTAGATTTGCTGATACAACATCATTGTATGGTTTGCTAAGGCAGGAATCTAAAAGCGATGTCACCGTGAATTACTGCAGTAACCTTAAGACCTCATCAGGTGGACTTTGGGCTCTGTTTCCATGCACTGTGGAAACGAAGCCACATAGGAATCCCGCAGAGGCGATCGCATGATGTAAAGGATGGGACTCCATGAGGCTCCGTTTCTGCAGTGCATGGAAATTAAGCCTAGAAAGCTGTCTTATGGCAGTGGTTCCAAAATTTTTTTTGACTAGGGACCACTCTCCAACATTTGTATCGAAAGGGTTACGAATCAGTTTTTGGTCAACTTAGATTTGGTTTGGTTATTTGGGGTGCTGATTTAGAAAACTGCATTAGATAGATCACATCAGCTCTAGCTTCTGATATTGAACATATGTCATTCAGTAGTCGCCATCTGCTCGCCCACAGAAAACCATGTTTAATAACCTAGAGCTGATGTGGTAGTAGTCATCTTTTGTAGGTAGTCAGCCTCTCCCCTCCCAACATCTCTCAGCACTATAAGAGGATTTTGCGAGACCAGTCACTCTTGTTGCTGCGTGGTTTCGAAGCAACTCTGCAATAATGGTGAGACCGTGGACCATATTTTCATTCTTGGGGACCACTGGTGGTCCATGGACCACAGATTGGAAATTACTGTCTTATGGCTTAGAAGATGGTACCTGACTCCAAGTGACAAAAATCAGGAGAAAGGCATGGTAAAGCTGACCATCCAAGAAGACAGAGAAAGACAGGAGGGAATTGGATCAGGCAACCCCCTCCCTTTTCCCCACTTTCCCCTTCTTTCCTGGCACTCATGGGATTAAGTCCCTAGTGACATCACTGACAACACCTTTAAGAGCCGTATCTGTCAATATGAAGTTGTGCCATTGCTCTGAAGAGGTAGTGTGAAATGGCCATCAAATATGCATCCCCTTTATTTTGCATTAGATCCATTTCACACAGCTTTTAGTTCAATCTTGAAAAGCTTTATTGTCATTGAACTGATAGGGGCAATGATTTGCAATAGTGACATGCTATCTTTTCAGCATTGTCTCTGATGCCAGGTGAGTGGTACAGCCTTCATTGAAGTTTAAGCATATTTTAAGAATGTTTAAAACTTTGCTCAGGCTCCTTATTCTTTTTATTATTGGTATGTTTTCACTTGACTTTTTTCAAAATTGTACCATGCTGCTTGTTCACTGTTTTAATAATTTCAATGCTTTTAGAAAATTGTGTTTTGTTGTATACATACTTGAAATATTTATTTATTTATTTACTGCATTTGTTGACCGCCATTCTCAGCCCTAGGGCGACTCACGGCGGTGAGATTGAAAGGTAAGATACAGATTGAAAGGTAAGACGCAAACTATTAAACATCCCTTGTGTTTCATTTTCTTAGGTGATGAGCTGGAGTACATTCGGCCCAACCTTTACCGGAACGTAGCGCGACAGCTGAACATTTCTCTGCACTCTGAAACAGTGGTGACAGATGCATTCCTGGCCGTGGCAACACAGATCTTTTCTTCAGGTGTGGAAACTACCTGGTCGGCAGTCTGGGCGAGGGAAATTAAATGAGACAAAGCAAGAGGCGTAAGCAGAGGCATGTTTTAGGCTAGCTTGCAAGGCGAGGCCCATTTGGCAAACGATCTGGATTGTAAGCAGTTTGGCAGTCCATGGTGCCATAATGATTTAACACAAATCCATTTATGATTTACATGTCGCCAGATGAGGAGATTTTTCAACCTCTCTCTGTTTCTCTTTCTCCCACTAGGGAAATCCATTTGATTTCAAGCTCTCCTCCAAATTAATGACTATATCATACAAGAGGAATTGGGAACCTTTGGCTCTCCAGATATTTTGGAGGGCAACTCCTACATTCCTGTACACTTGGCCTTCTAGGAATTATTCCAACATTTTGGTAGTTCAAAAGTTGTCTGCCTGTAGCTACAGACCAATCTCTTTTATTTAGTTTTTATGTATTTTTCCTTTGTCTCTTTGGTTCCTAAAACTGAAGGCATTCTTAGCTGTCAAGTTTCTCCCCAGTTTCTCCTGCTCTTCAAGCAAAAAACCCCGATAACTGGAATTAGCTTGTGATCAAGGCGGGGACCACAAAACTATTTTTAAGTATGGAGACTCCACATTGACCAGCAGGTTGTTATTCATTTTCTATAATTACAGGTACATTTTCCCAAAATGACAAGAACACAAAATGTACTGCATTAAAACAGCAACAACCCTATATCTTAATTAAAAAAGAAAAGAAAATCTATTAAGATGCCAAGAAATTCCTCCCCGCATCAACCTTTTAATGAGTACAATATGTACTTGTCTTCACCACTAAGTACGCATAAGATAGATGCCATGTAGCTTTTCTCTTCCTGGGAGGGCTCCCTATTAAGGCAATTGATGTTTTATTAACACTAAAGGGCTCAGTTACTAAATGTATTTCTGGAAAGGCTCAGTTGCAATAGATCTTTGTTTTTCTCTCCAGGACATCTATTGTAATTGGACCCTCCCAGGAGTATATATAGTGCATGATCATTTAGTACACATCTGACTGATGTGGCCCAATTTGCCTAATTTGGTCATGGGATTAGCTATTCCCATGCTCCTCTTTTGGGGTCTGTGGATCATGAAGTGTTATCATGTCAGAGTTTTGGAACTGTTACTTCATGGGTTTCCACTCCAGAATTATTTTCCTAGTTCATGAATTTTAGGTTTTCTACTTCCTAAAGCACATCTTGAGACTATAATAGCACTATGTTTGCTTCTTGGGTATTCATGAGCAAGGGATAATGTCCAAGCATCTGGTTTGTTTAAATATTTTCAATACTGTAAATAATATAGATGGGGGGATTTTATGGATATATTTATTCGCCATTACAGAGCCCTTTCCTCATAAAGACTTGCAGACATATTTAAATCTTTAAAAAATATCCTCTGCTTCATAAGCTTTAATTCTTAATTAAACAAGATATCTACAACCTCTCTAGGACCACCTTTCACTTAATAAAGAAACTGAAGGTTAGTATATAATTTTAAAGAAAAGTTTTAAATTGTCAGCACTTTATGTTTTTTATTAGCGAAGGATTTCTTTTATTTTCTTGTTTACTCTTTGCCATTTTTTTCATGTCAGGAGCGACTTGAGAAACTGCAAGATGCTTCTGATGTGAGAGAATTGGCCAGATGTTTTACCATCCTGTGGGAAGCTTTTCTCATGTCCCCACATGAGAAGCTGGAGCTGACAGACAAAAGCTCACCCCAGTCCTCAGATTTGAACCGCAGACCTTTCGGCCAGCAGTTGTGCCAGCACAAGGGTTTAACTCATTGCATCAATGGGGGCTCCTCTTTCCCAGTCAAAAAGAGGGTTTGACAGCACATGGTGTGTGTGTGTATCTGCAAAATGAGAGAAAATTCCTTTGGATGGGTGGTTGGGTGAGCAGAGAAGCTGTTTCTTCTCAAAAAGGATGGAGGCATACCTCTGTTTGGAAATAAGTTCATTTGAACACATTGGGGCTTACTCCTGAGTAAAATCCATTAAAATGTTAAAGCGAACGGTATTGAGAAGCTCCTTCAGGAAATAACAACTTCAGGAATTCTTGACAAAAAAAAAAAGGAAAACACCTGATGTTTTCTAAACAAAAATGCTCAGCTCCATATGACATCTGTTCCCCTGTCTTTGAAGGTCCCTTCTGTTTCCTTTCCAGCAAGAGGGAATTTGGATTTTCTGGAATCCCGAATTTCTGTGGGCTAGCCTATTTTCTGTGGGACATAAGCCTGCATTTGAAGGAATTACAACGATGTGCCACTGTGCATGCTATTTGAAAGGAAAAAATCAATGAAAGAAGATGCACAATTCTTAGTTTTTGCATATTGCTCCAAAAATAGTCATATTTTGAGCAAACACATGTGCCTCTGCCTCTTATATGATATGCACCTGTCTTGTAACAGTGTCATGATGTCCATTTGCAGGGCCTGAGGCTGTTAGAAATTGTGGGAGTTGAAATCCAAAACACTTGAAGGCCCCAAGTGTGCCGATGCCTGAGATGACCTAAACATAAAGCGTATATGCATCCATTAGACTACGTGCATACCTTGTGTCTAAAAAGGAACCTGGTATACATCCCATCAAGTTAATTTCTGAGGATCAATTTACCTCCCATTAATTGACCTAACCAGTTTTGGGCAGAAATGTTCCATCTGCTTGGAAATTTCCAGAAAATTAAAGATGCACTTCTGCAGTCATTCTAAACTAACATTGTGACTCAGGTTTATTTTCCAACTTCTAGTGCAATTTTAGAAATGATGAGTACTTGCCATCTCACTTATGAGTCAAATGACCCATGTAGGATTTTTAAGATTCACTGGATGTAGGGTGGAGAGTTGCCAAAGAGGACAAGACTTTGGCAGTGTACAAGCATCCCATTGAGGTTGAATCTGCTGAAATTCCCTCTTCTGTAAAGGTCCACAAGTCCTGTCCTCACCCCAGCAACAGAGAGGGAATGTAATTCTTCTAAGAAGATGTTAGTTTCTATTATCAAGATCCAAGCAACCGTTTGGAGGCTTAAAGTTAAGGCCAGCAAAATAAAGGCCAGCTGTTCCTGAGCCAGACATTCCACCCTTTGGGGAAAAAATTAAGGTCAGACTCAGTGACAGAAGACGGAAAGTAGCTGCCCGGAGTGTTTTTTCAATCTGACTTGAATGTTAAAATTCTGCATTAGACCTGTAGGTATATGTGTATATGCTTTGTCATTTCATATGATTTCTTAGGCAAGGATTCTCCAAAGTGGTTTACCATTTCCTTCCTCTAAGTATAGCCTGTGTGTATGAACGTGTGCCTTCAAGCATTTGTCATTTCATTGCATCTTCATAAGTTTCATAGGATTTTCTTAGGCAAGCAATACTCAAAGGATGTTTTGCAAGATCTTTCCTTTGAAGTCCCCCATACATAGTACATAGTTGGGTTGCGGTGAAATAAAGGTTTCCTGTCATTAAAATGATTATTTAGTAGAGAGAATTTTCCAGCAGATTTTATTTGCTACCTGTTTGCATGACAAGCAACACCGGTTGGAATTAGCACTCCCAGCTTCAAAGGAAGGCACTAACTGCTGCTATCAGCTGTCTCGCTTAGCCCAACAATAGGTCCAGCCACTGTTTTAGTAGTACAGATAGCTCTTAAAAGCAAGGATGCAATCTCTGAGCAAGAACCTAGAAACCTGAGAGCAAAGACCAAAGTATGAATGGCTGCCCAGTACCAGCTCCACAATAACAATCTTCTCAATGTGTCTGAGCTGAGCGTTTTCTCTCTCTGTCTTTCGGTGTATGTTAAATGAATAGAATTGTGATTCAGAAACCATGCTGATGATTTTGACTCGAAAGTTAGGGCTGGCGGCAGTTTTCTTCCTGTGTTTGTACTGCACATTTCGACTATTGGATTTACTTTAAAACTCTGTTTGAGATGCTGGCTTTAGAATCTACTAAACTCTGACTCAGGTGTTTGTTTAGGCTGGATAGATTTCAATAAGCTGAACCGCTCTAAAGAACGCCATGCAAAAGAACAAGAGGAAAATACAAAAAGAGCTTTCCAGTTCCCATTTGGCAATGGTTAGATCTCTGTTCCTTTTCTGTGGGACAGCAGCTACTGTTGTCTTTCCAAAACATGGTGCTTTTCAGACATGTTGAACTACAAAAACCTAGCATGGCCATATTGGTTGAGGCGATATAGACTGTAACCCGACCCTAGTTGAGTGGCAAATTGGGGAGTGATGTGTCCTTTTATTCCCTTGTAAGTAATGGGTAGAAAAACACTCTCAGTGTGTATGTGCCTTCAAGCCACCTGCCAATTTATGGAGGCACCATGAATTTTTCATCAGGTTTTCTTAGGCAAAGAATACTCAGAGGTGGTTCTGCCAGTTCCTTCCTGTTACAAATGAATAAATGTCAAAGCCTTTGTTTAAGTAGTGTACAATGCTTTGAAATATACATTTTTCAAGAATGGCAGTTTCACGTGTCCTGGGATAAGAAAGAGAGTGAATAGTCTGTTTTGAGTCAAGGGCAAAATAAACAGTGCCTTAAACTTCCTTTTAGTGCCTTGAGGACACTTCTTCTTTTGACCAAGACGATGTTCAGGAAAACTCTTTATCAAGCAATACTGAGTAGTGAGTTGCTGTGAGTTTTTCTGGGCTGTATGGCCATGTTTCAGAAGCATTCTCTCCTGACGTGTTGCCCACATCTGTGGCAGGCATCGTCAGAGATTGTGAGGTCTGTTGGAAACTGGGCAAGTGAGGTTTATATATCTGTGGAATAATGTCCAGGGTGGAAGAAAGAATTCTTGTCTGCCTGAGGCAAGTGTGAATGTTGCAAATGGTCACCTTGATTAGAATTTAATTGCCTTGCAGCTTCAAAGTCTGGCTGGTTGCTGCCTGGGGGAATCCTTTGTTGGGAGGTGTTAGCTGACTATGACTGATTCTTGTCTGGAATTCCCCTGCGTTTTGAGTGTTGATCTTTATTTAGTGTCCCACCCTGGACATTATTCCACAGATATATAAATCTCACTTGCCTAGTTTCCAACAGACCTCACAATCTTTAAGGATGCCTGCCATAGATGTAGGTGAAACGTTAGGTGAGAATGCTTCTGGAACATGGCCAAATAGCCTGGAAAACTCGCAACAACCCAGTGATTCCGACCATGCAATCCTTCAGCAACACAATACTGAGTAGTATTTCTAGCTCTGGATTTGTTTGTGGCTTGAGTCTGATTTTGTGGGACTAGCATAAAGAGTCTTAGGATTCTCAAGAAATTTACATTTTGGGGATAGTGCTGGATCTTAATCTTGACATGGCATGCAGGGCTTAAGAGAGTCTTCAGCTGGACCCTCAATGGCTGGCTTGTTCGTGTTATTACCCTGGTTCCATTTCCGCCACCCCCTCTTGATGTTGTGTGGCTAATGAGAGGTTTGTTTTGTGGTCTGGATGGAATCCTGTGCTCTTTGATAATCAAGAGAGGGTAGATTTATTTATCTAGCTAAAGGATGTGTGGTTTTGTGAGCTCAGAGGCTGACCAGACGCTTTGCGCCACATGGCTCCCTGGAAGCCTTCCAGCTGCTGGGAAGCCGATGCAGGGACTGGGGTGGTTGGCTGAGCGGCCAGTCCTCGTTTGTTCGCTCCCTTCTGTGCCGTTCAGTATTTACATACCTCTGGTCCACAGCTGGCTTCCATCCGGCTGTTCAAACAAAAGCCCATCTCAGAGACAGCTCACTTTTTATGCATTGTGTATCAACTTTGAAATGGGGATTTATTTTTAACTTCAGCTCTATGGGATGATATGTAGAGACTCATCTTGCACTCCTCTCAAGGCTTGTTTTCTTCTTGGTGGCTTTTAAAGTGCCATGCACACATAAGGTTAAATGTGGTGATGGCGTTTCAGAGTGTCTTTGTAAAAACAGCGACTTGTATTGACACAATTATAATCTGAAACAACAACAACAACACACTATTTCTATTGCACCCTTCTCTCCTAGGGAACTGAGAGTGGATTACAGCATTTCCATACATAGGCAAACATTCAATGCCTTAACAATCATAAACAAACACAAACAAAGGTAGAGGCTTCTTCTTTCATTTCTAGCTTCTGGGGGCAGTGCTCATCTCTGGTTCTGGGGAGCTGCTTTTTTCTCCATTTTTGAGCCTATTTATTTATTTATGTATTTATTTCAAACATTTGTACCCTGCCCTTCTCTGCCCCCGAAGGGGGACTCACCTCCTGGTTGTGTGGCCAGCAAGATTGCTTGGAGCATCTCTTTGCCTTTTCCCACCGAAGCGGTACCTATTTATCAACTAACATTTGCATGTTTTCAAACTACTAGGCTGGCAAGAACTGGAGCTGACAGACAGGAGGTCACCCTGTCTCGTGGGTTCGAACTGCCAATCTTCAGGTCAGCAGTTCAGCAGCACAAGGGTTTGACCCTTTATGTCATCTCATGATGATATTTTTGTTTGAGGTGAATGGGCAGAAAAGATTATGAAGAAAAAAGCAATTTGAATCTGGGTTGCTGTAAGTTTTTCAGGCTGTATGGCCATGTTCTAGAAGGATTGTCTCCTGATGTTTCACCTGCATCTATAGCAGGCATCCTCAGAGGTTGTGAGATTACAACCTCTGAGGATGCCTGCCATAGATGCAGGCGAAACGGCAGGAGAGAATGCTTCTGGAACATGACCATACAGCCCAAAAAACTTACACTAACCTAGTGATACCGGCCATGAAAGCCTTCGACAACCATTTGAATCTGCTTTTCCATGAGCACTGTGTCCTGCGTCGCCTTCATATAGCACAATTATGGCATTGGAATAGCACTTCCTCCCATGGATGCATCTTGTGGAATCCTGGGATTCTCTGGCAGACAATTCTAAATCCCTCACAAAATTGAACAGTATGAACATTGTTGCTTTCAGGTGTGGTATGACATTACAAGAGATAGTGAGGGCCATGTTTGATGTCATGCCATTCATGGAATGAACAATTGCATGACTGACTTTTTGAAAGTAAATTGCAGGAACTTGTATGTGTGGGAATGATCTGCAATTGGATCTGTTTGGCATGGTGCAAGGATTTTCCCTTGGAGCTTTTGTAGCAGGCCTTACCCTGATTTGAAGCTGCGTTGGGAACAATCATATTACGGTTAATTTCCCACCCAATGCACATGGCATCTATGAGGAAGCCTTTGGATTTGGACCACAACAAAGGTTCCACTGTCCCCATTCTGGATTACTAACTGAAATGGAGGTTTATCTGCAAGTTGTTAAAGCCATTCTCACAATGGTTAATTGTTTATATGGACTGGGCTGTGGCGCAGCTAGTTAGTAGCCAGCTGCATTAAATCAATACTAACCTAGAGGTCATGAATGCCAGCTCGGGTTGGAGTAAGCTCCCAACCATTCATAGTCTAGCTTGCTGTCGACCTATGCAGCCCAAAAGACAGTTGCATCTGTCAAGTAGGATATTTAGGTACTACTTTATGTGGGGAGGCTAATTTAACTATTTTACAATACCATAAAAACCTTCCAGCAGTGTGCAGAAGAATGAGGATGTACTCCATCAAAGGACTCGGTGTTACAAGTGGATGGTGAAGCGGTCGCTCCCCCAGTGGCTGGAATCAAGCCTCATGAAGCTGGAAAAGCTGAAATGTTAACTGCCTCTGTGTCTGTCTATATATGTTGTATGTCTAAATGGCATTGAATGTTTGCCATGTATATGTACATTGCAATCCGCCCTGAGTCCCCTGTGGAGTGAGAAGGGTGGAATATAAATACTGTAAATAAATAAATAATAAATATCTCTTCAGCTTTGGCCTTTACAAGGATCACCTTTAAGGTTGGCCAACCATGTGAATCAGTCTTCTGCACCAGTCACTATATGGGCAGTGACTGCAGGGTAGGAAATAGCAGATATATCAGAAATTACTGGTTGAGCAAAAATGTTTGTATCATTTGTAGATGTAAGAAAGACTCTGTATAAACAACAACACAGTTGGGTGCTTTCCCTAGCTTTGTTTGGGATGGGATGTGGAAAGAGATCGTGCAATTGCCATTTGTGAAACAATTAGATGGACAAAACACATGTTCAAATGATACTGCTGCATATATCAAGACTTGAGTCCTATCAGTTCCATACAAAATATATACTAAGACAATGTTTTCCTTCTTTCAGGCATAACATGGGGCAAGATTGTGTCTCTGTATGCTGTGGCAGCTGGCCTTGCTGTGGACTGTGTGAGACATGCTCAGCCAGCCATGGTCCATACCATTGTGGATTGCTTGGGAGAGTTTGTACGCAAGACCTTGGTGACCTGGATGAAGAGGAGAGGAGGCTGGGTAAGTAATAACACTACTTTTCAGGTGCGGAGAATATATGCTTTTCCTTAACATGATTAGACAGGTATTTCCTTGATATCTGTTAGCTGTGTCAAGTAGGGATGATGAGAGCTGCAATCCAACAAGAGCTGGAAGCCATATATTCTCCAACCATCAAAATTTACAGCCTCTGGAAATTGCATTGACATGAATAAAAACATAGTGGTTTTATGAACCACCAGCAATCATAATGCAAACTGTGGGCAAAGTTCCCTATGTTGGAGCTTTGCCAATCAACTAACTCTTCTTCTATCCAGCCCTGCCCCACAATGATACTGATTATACTGGCTCTGTGTGTCTCTCTAGCAGCTTTGCAGCTGACCTATGATGACCCTGAGGCTATATTTGCCACCAAGTTTACGGCCCAATTCCATTCACCTAATTTGCTCTTGACCCATACCACCTTTTTAACGAGTCTAGTCCTCATGCTTTAAAAAGCTTGCTCAGAGCTTCCACAAATACTATGATTGAGATGCCACTTAGCTTTGTGAGAGAATTGGGGCATATTTGTCTAGGCTGGCTGTACAGATCTGCAGGCTGTTGAGAAATATCTTGTGGGAAGGTATCAGTGACCTTCCTTCGATATAGTTTTACTACATCTTGTATGAGGAGGAATCCTGTGGTTCTCCAGGTGTTTCGCCTTGAATTGCACCATCCCTCACCACTGACCATGCTGCCTGGGACAGATGAGAATTGGCGTTTAATATCTAAAGAAACATGGAAATCCTGCCTTATATGAAAACTGAGCAGCAACCATCTAAATCAAGAACAGGCAGCTGTGACTATCTTTTTTTTTTTTTTACTATAACTTCCATCAGTCCCAGGCAGCATTGACAATATTCAGGAATGGTGCAACTCAGCACAAACACCCGGAGGACCAAAATTTGAATGTTTCAGAATGATGGTCTTATAATTATATTTGTCTCTCCCTTGTGCATCTTTCAATGAATACTCAATGCACAGATCTGTGTTCAAGAACTATGCTGAGGATTTTGATTATAACTCTTACCTGATCTAGTCAGTGTTGAAGGGATATGGAACTTACAATCTGCCTAAAATACAGAGAGTTGGATTGGCCAACCCTGTTCTCATTGTAAAGGAACTCAAGAGTTGTGTGTCAACACTGAAATGCTTCTAGATGTTGGGTTATGCCTCTCACCTCCAAAAGTTGAATGTGTGACCATCCTGTGCCCTTGTGGATCTTGACTCTAAAGTAGAAATGCTCAGATGAGATTCAGGCTGCATTTTGCTTTCTTCTATATAGGCATTAGCTGTTATTGTTGGAATTCAACCCCACACTGCCCAAGTCCTCAATGAGGAGAAGTTAGTATTAAAATAGCCTGAGAGTTTCCCTTCAATCATGTCTCCTATATGACAGTAGGGAATTCATCTTTTTCTATTCTCTTTCTGCTCTCATTTTGATTGGTTTTTTTTTAAACGGACACTTTTCTGCTTGCAAGCCTTTTTGAATCTGCCTTCTGCCTTCTTACACTGAGAGAATGTGCTGTGTGCTTTGAGATCTCTCTCTGCTTGTGTGTCAGGCGAGATGTAGTGATTGATTTTTCTTCCCTCTCTTTAAAGCCTTAGAAGAGATATTTTTAGAGTAGCTCACTCAGTTTTCGATTATTAAGCAATGCAGTTTTTTATTATTGTAAATAAACCTTTTGTGATTCTTTAAGATTGGACTCTACATGTTTGCCTCCTAAGCTCTTCATTCTTTACAGCCACATCACATGGCACCTTTACGCCCTGCTTGCTAATAAGCTGATGCTCAGCTTTGGTATCCTGCTTGTTTTTGGATGCTTTGCTATATTTAGGGTAGTTTTCCCTAAGAGTTATGGCTAACAGATAGGCAGGATCTAGATTTCACTGTATTCAACCATGGTGATTAGATGGGGAAAGTTGTAAGCACAGAGTCGAGAATCTTTCCTGTCGTCTACCAGGAATCCTTGGCAAATCCTATTAGATCTCAAGTTATGATACTGAACATTAGATGGAAGGTGAAATTCCAAGAACAGTACATTTCTAACCCTCTCTCTTTTCTTCTTCAGACTGACATAACAAAATGTGTGGTGAATACTGATCCCAACCTCCGCTCCCATTGGCTTGTGGCTGCCATTTGTAGCTTTGGCCACTTCCTGAAGGCCATCTTCTTTGTGCTGTTACCAGAAAGATGAAATTCATTTGCCCATGGAAGCCCCAGTCTTCTTCTTCTCAAAGGCATAGCTGGAAAAGAAAAAGGGAAGAAATTCAATGAGGAAGAGAGCTGGACAAACTTCCATTCTTCTGGCCTTCCCAAGCTCTTCATCCATGGTGGAATAAATATTTCTTCACTCACTTCTTGCAGAAATCACCCGTTGCACTTTCAAAGTTGCTTAGGATTATGTTCAGTGGTTTGGGAGAATGATGGGTTTGCAGCGGTTATTTATTTTCTTTTGTTCAAATTGTGCTCTATTTTTTGTAGAAAAGGGAAAAAAATCATAGTTGGTGCTCCTGTCAAGAAGAAAACTGTGCTGTTTGTTCCTAATGTATCAGCTGTTCCTATATTTGTCACTTAGATCTCTCCAGCTTTCCTTGATCTCCCGTTAAAGCTGTGAATTGGAGGACTTCTTCAAAAGCATGACATTCTTCATGGTTTGTCTTACGTTATAGAATCATTCCAGTTGTGGTACTCTTTACTTAAAGGGGAGCCAGGCAGAGAATGGGTAGCTTGGACAGCAGAATGACCAACTAGATGCTATCATTTGGTTACATAGGGCATCAAGGACAGAATACCAGGAGTCAATTAAAAAATAAACAACTCTGCTTTTTCCTTAGTGCAATGAAAGAATGCAAATGGCAGCACATTTTAAAATATATTAACAAGAGATCGAACTGGAGCACAAGAAAGTGAATGGGGGATGCAGGAGATCCCATCAGCAAAACATCCAGTAAAGATAGGTCTGTGAATTGTATCCACTGCAGTGCATTTAGCATGTGCAATGTGTGACTTTTATTTCTGTTGTGATAAATAATAAATATTGAATATTTTATTTTGTGAACCTGGAGCTGTTTCTAAAGTCTTAAAATAGCCCAAAATGACAAAGAATGCTTAGTAGTTGCAACACCCCCCCCCCCCAAACTGATAAACAGAAAATGTCAGCCTGCCAGCCTAAAAGATATAGATGTGTGGAAGTACTATTACTTTAAGTCAGAGATACAAATAATCAAGCCATTCAAAAATTGATGGACGGCAACCCTGACCATTGCTAGGTTGGCTAAGAATGCTGGGGTTTTTAGTCCAACATTATTTGGAGACTGCGTGATTTGCACTCTGACACTATTTGAAATGAGCAGTAGTCTATCATGGGAGGTGTAGCTAAATCTCCTGAGCTGAGATCCTGGGAATTGTGTTACGTTTGGTTTGAAGTCTGAATGGTGGTTAGTTTAGAGTTCAGAGGGAACTGTAGAAAGGAGAACTCAACATAGCCTTGGTTCTTTAGAGACACAGACTGTTTCATGGGCCATGTGCGCCTAGAAATATGGAAAGCAGAAGCAGGACTGATATGAGTCAGCTGCAATGGACAGAAAAGGGACTGTTTCTGGGAAAGCCACCATCTCCTGCTGACACAGAAACCCAGAAACAGTCCTGGAGTCAAAGGGGCAAGCTTTTGCAGGAGCACATGTTGAGAGACCTTTTGCTTTGCAAAGGGGTGCATTTCTCATTCTCCATTTTTGAAGCACCTGAAAAAAGGCAAAAATATATACAGTACATCCGTATAATTCTCACATATCACGAGTCCTCTTCAATAGCATGTTTTATTCTCAGAGGAAAAGTCTAAATGGTAATGAGGTTGGTGTAATCTCTTACCTTCAATGTTTGTGTGTTCCTCCCTGAAGGCTCCAATTTGAATGGAACATTTGTGTAGTGGATGGGAAATTTAACAAACACATTCATTCGCTGTAGTTGTTTCTGTGAACAATTGGCTCCTTGTACTAATTTTCTATTTAAAAAAGATGCAGGTATTCCACGTGTGTACAGTTTTCAATTTGTGTGTGTGTGTGTCAGGAGCAACTTGAGAAACTGCAAGACGGTTCTGGTATGAGAGTATTGGCCATCTGCAAGGACGTTGCCCAGTGGACGCCCAGATGTTTTACCATCTCATGCCCCCAGATACAATGCTGGAGCTGACAGACAGGAGCTCACCCTGTTCCTTGGATTTGAATCACCAACCTTTCGGTCACTGGTCCTGCCAGCACAAGAGTTTAACCCATTGTGCCACCAGGGAGAAGGTGGAAGGAGTATAGAAATCTCTCTTCCCACCAACCACTTTGCATGTTAAAAGTGCAGCTCCCAATGCAGAATTTTGGAGAAGGATGGTGGTGGCAACAACTCAGATTAAAGATTGCGCACCACCTAATACAATCTGACATTTGAAAAGCTAGTGCTCCTGCTTTCTAGATGGGGAACCGAAAAGCATAAACACAAAGCAAGATTTGTGGATTAATACGAAATATCCAAGAGCAAGGCAAAGAGTTTTCAGTGAACTATTCACAGCCCACTGCTTCTATTTGTTATTTTTTGAAAAAAGGTCAAGAAAGACTGAATATTTTTTACTGATTGTATTAGAATAGGGATGGGGAATTCAAGAGGCCCATCCACTCCATCTGTATCCAGCACCATCTTCAGCTTTCAGTTTTGGCTAGTATTTGTCATTTTTTAAGGGGAAGGGTGTTGGATTTTCAGGCAGTTTTAGTGAATTTGGGGCAAAAAAATCATTTGACAATTTGTTCTATTGCTTTCAAAAAAAAGAAGAAAAACTATAGCGATGGATCTCCTGCATTCTAATGTAACTTGGCCACAATATATTAAAATGTCCTGTATGATTTATCATCCTAACATCCTCTCTCGATTCTATGATTCTATGATTCTATGATTCTCTCCATTGTTTTTAGCTGCTAATCCCTGCCATGCTGATTTTCAAGTAGTCTTAATGAATATACCAACATTTCCTGTTCTGTTAAAGAAATGACAATAATCCTTTGTCCGTAAGTTTTCCGATTTAGCAGCAAACTGAGTGGTATAGGCGATGGGAATGAAATACAGAAGTCTCAAGGTCAAGACCCAGCAGAAGATTAAATTTCCAGTTTTTTACATTATACATTAAGACATTTTTAGCCAAGTACATGTGGATCCCATCTTTCATAGCTGCATAGGCTGCATGTGACATCAGGTGGGGCCACACACATGAGGTTCCAACTACTGTCATGCAAAATGATACAAGGCACTGAATTGATGTATTTTGGGAAAGTATGTGAAGGAATGTGTTTAAGCTAGCTTGATTCCACTTGTTTTTCTAGATTGGGTATGGTCAAACTTCAGCTTTCCAGGTGTTTTGGACTTCAACTCCCACAATTCCTAACAGCCGGTAAGCTATTAGAAACTGTGGGTGTTGAAGTCCAAAACACCTGGACGGCTGAAGTTTGCCCAGGCCTGCTTTAGATGTTTTAAGAGGTTATATTGACTGGAGATGATGTAATGGTAGTCCAAGAACATCTGAAGGGAACCAGATAGAGATGGAAAACTGTCTCTATCCATCATCTGGTACACATTGTTGGTCCTCCTACTCTGCCAGTTTAAGACAATCATGACTATTTGTTCAGAACTAAATTGCATTTCAGCAAAGCAGAACTGGAAAATAACTTGTTCATTAGCAAGATGTTAAAGAGAGGGCATTCAAGACTTTTTCCTCTGCATATATAAATCATAGAATCATGGAGTAGGAAGAGACCCTAAAGGCCACCCAGTCCAAACACATTTTGCCATGCAGGAAATGCACTGTCAAATCAACCCCAGCAGAGGGCCACCCAGCCTCTGCTTAAAAATCACAAGAGAAAGGATATTCCAAGAGCTGTTAACATTAGGCCTTTCTTTCTAATGTTTAGGTGGAATCTATTTTGCTTTTTGCAATTTGAATCCATGTCCTAGTCTCCAAGGCAGGAAAAAAACATGCCTGCCGCCTCCTCAATATGACATCTTTTCACATATTTAAGCTTGGCTGTCATGTCTCCTCTTAACCTCCCCCCCCCTCCAAACTCAAGATACCCAGCTCCATCAGCTGTTCCATGTTTATAAACTCTTAAAACCCCCCCCTAAAATCACCCAAAATATTGAAAACCTCCACATTCCATAAATAACACATTTTGGAAGCTTCTTTAATGAGTGCTCATATAGTGACTTCACACCATTTTGAGCCACCACCTTAAAAATAAAGGCTTCTTTATTGGCTTTCAGTTTGCTTTAAGACTAACATTACAGAAACTTCAGAAGGGACTCCTTCGGCAGCTGTAGCTTCTGCTGTCAAGTATGAACTGGGTCAGGAAGATGTAAAGTCAGTGTGTCCTCCTCCTCCTCACATAGGGCTCCCTTATTCCTGGCCTTGGGGCCTCTGGAGGGAAACCGCTTCCTTTTGTTTCATGGAGTCACTTTCTTGTAGGTGATGTGAAGGTGCTGCGTCATGGGCTGTGTAGTGGTTGCCATGGAGACTGTCTGCTCCAGCTTCCCATCAGAATTGAGCCTGAATTTCCTAGTAATCTACAAGGCAGAAATAGAAAATGCATGGCTTATTATTTGATCCTGTTTATCATTCAAGAAGAAAGACACCAGCAAAAAAGTAGATCACAGTGAAAGGGCCAGGAGAAATCCAACTATTGGGGGGGGGGGTATAGTGTCCCCACTCTAGCAAAAATCCTCCAAATTTATTAGGACTTGTTTAACTCCTCCTTTCCCTCAAAGTACAGACTGCTATTATGAAGGCACTAATAATATATCCCACAAAATCTGCAAAAAACTAAAGTCTTGGGGAAAAAAAGAAGTAGACTTGTTTCCAAGTTGGATACCTATATCTATCCCTTTTCAGTGAAGAGTCTGTAAGTGTAAGAACATGTGTAAGAACAAGTGTAAGAACATGTAAATTGGGGACAATATTGCTAGGGATCCTTCTGGCGGTTTTTTGAGCTCCATTCAAAGAAGAAGAATAACAAAATACCACAGCGATTCAGCAGCTCGTTCTTTTTTTGGCAAACTTCTTGCTGGTACAACCAAAGTTCCTAGGCTGAAATCAGAGATCTTTCCATTCAAGTTATGCAATCTATGAGTAGCGGCCATCCTACCTGAGGGGTTCTATCATTATACTAAAAATGTAACTTTTCCAAGCCTTGCCCTGAAGCGATCTTTTTTTTTAAAGATGGTTCAAGCTTTCCACAAAATTGGAAATGGGAAAGAACACAAATAAAAGAACACAAATACATGACACATCATTATCCCCTCCTTCATCAGCACTGTGCCTCATCTGAAAAATATTTTTGCCAAGCCAGCTTTAGGCTGAGTAAGAATGTCCAAAGCTGAACATAACAGAAGAGAAAGGCTCGATTACAAACTGTCAAGAATACCATTCTAGGTGAGACCATAACAGACACAGTCTCCAAGGTCTGATATCTTGTTCTCAACACACAACTTCCATTTTTGGTAATAACAAATATCTTCAACTGAATGGTGTTGCCATAAACACACATATTGTACCATAATGTTAACATCTTCATGGCTGGGAAAAAATGCTTTCTTAACTTCTGGACCCAGAAACCTCTCCTCTACTTGTTAATATGTTCATAATTTGGACCTGTGGAGAGAACTCACCCAAATTATTCCACCACAATTTGACAACTTCCACCCTGCCATCAACCTAAGTTGGGAACAACATAACAATTTCACTTTCTGGACAGCTCTGCAACAAAGCAGAACACTATATTGGAAATACACCAATTGCCTCCAGTTTCCATCCTGAACACATTACCAAATCTATAGTTTACAGCCAAGTTCTCCAATACAATCACAGTTGCTCAGACCCACAAGACAAAAATGCCAAACTCATGAAATTACAACAAGCATTCCTCAAGCTAATGTCTCCACCAAATGAATTTAAAAAACCCAAATATACAAGGAAAAGCTTTATCCAGGACTGAACTATTAAGAAGAGACTAAAGACAGGAAATGGCAGGACCTCACTAGTAGTCGCAAATATCTCCCAACTAAGGCCACTTAGATTTATCATCAATGAACTACAGCCCTCTCAAGTGCTTTGGGTGGTAGGCCTTTACTTACTTACAAACAGCCTTCCAATCTCAAACAGTTACTTTCCCAATGGAGGACTTATAACATAGAGATAGGTACAAAGTCATACCACAAGCTCAGATGCTCTCACAGATCAACTTGGGAACTCCTATCACAGAACCAAACCACAGCACCAACAATATTGCATGTACAGTACTTCCACTTGATCATCCTCCAATGGGATGTATGCCATAGCACAGTAGAGGATAAATGATTATAATGGGAATCTGCACAAAACAGTTGCAGAACGTATCAATCTCCTGGGACTTTCTATCTTGGACTTAAAAAAAACAATGCTTGAGCAAAAAACTACAAAGGAAAATTGGAAAGACAAACAGCAGAAATATATATAACAGCCCAGCCTGTGATGGCTCTCTTGGTCAGATTATGACACCTCCTTTCTGGTTTCCACCTAGCATCTGTGCTACATTACAATAAATCCCTCCACCATTCATCCGGCTATCTACTCAGCTTGGTTTTAGGCAATATCCTTCCTCCTGCCCGTGTCCCCTGGCAACCATCCTTAAAACTGAATTTGTCACCCTGTCATTTTACCCACAAATTTTGTATTTCTATTATTATTTGCATAGGCAACATGCTCATTCGTAAAGGTCTGTTATTGGGCACTTCATGCATCTGATGAAGTAGATTTAAGACTATGAAAGCTTATGCTGTCAACTTCTCCCTCTATTAGTGTCAAAGGATCCCTTTGCATACTGATTCAGAATAAATCAGTTAAGTATTTGAATAATGGAAAATACTTAAACTTATCTCAAAAAAGGGGGTGAAGTGAATAGCTTATGATTAAGTAGCAGGTTTTGGCACCTAAAAATTTAGACTTGGGCTTCAAGCTGATATCATCAGAGCACAACTTGGCAATGCCCTGCAGGAAGGTCCATCCACTTATTTCAGTAAAAGATTTATGCCCTTAACCCAAGGTTTTGTGTATGCTAGTTGGTGCCCTTTGCTCTTCTGCCATTCTTCTAAATGAAGAAATGGAAACATCCAGGACTACAGGAACTCTGCCCAAGAAACACAGCCAAAGGTTGTTTCATTGAGCAAAAACATTAAGTATGCAACAATCAAAACATAAAAACTCAATTAGTTCATTTTAATGGTTCAAGGATGTTGAAGTATATATCTTGTAAGGAAACATACACAGAAATGCTTTTCCTATCCATATATCAAAATGTCTGTGGAGTAAAAATATTTTGCCTTTCAAAAACAAACTGCTGAACATTATCATTTTTTACATGTCCAGGAATAACCAAGTGACGATGAAATGGTTGGCAATGGAAAGAAAAAACAGATATCTTTTTCTGGGATGTCTCTCCTCCTGGACACAGCTGCCAAGAATTGGCTTTTTTCTTCTCTCAACCCAGCAAACATATGGAGTAACCCTCTGGCTACAGCATCCTCAAGGGACAAGGCCTCAGTCGCCCACTACAGAAGGGATGCTGGGAGTCCAACCCATTCTCATCCGGAAAGAACAAGTTTTTTTAAAAAAAATGTAAAATATTTAAGTATCTATTTAAGCCACTTAAAGCCTTTGGGATAGAACAGGATATAAACCAAATAAACAAACTTTGGTCACTATGGAGCTTATTTATTTGCATGTCAGAAATGAATTATGATTTGATTGCTCATGATTTATCAGGATCCTCTTCTTTACTACAATAAATCTTTCAACAAACAGCAATATTTACCATGATTTCCGATAACGTATTTGTAAGATGATGGATAAGTCTGAACACACTCATCCTTATGTAAAATGTTTATCATACATTACATGGATTTATACTGCATTGTAGGGATTTATAAACAGGAGTCATTGGGTATGTCTGTATACACAGGATGTCCCCAAAAAGGTAAACGCCCATTAACAGGTGATAGTAGCTATGGTGATTATTTGAAGGGTACATGAATACATTTATATTAAAGAAAATGTGTCATCATAATGAGCTGATAAGATTTACAAATTCCATCTTAAACTACAATTTTATGTAAAGTATTTACTTTGCCATCCCTGCACTGCAATGCACTGCTTGCCCTGTTCCCTCTTCTCACTGGAGAACGTTCAAAATTCCTAGCCTCATCATATCCTTAACAACAACAACAACAACAACAACACAATGGTATTGAGCAATTGTTAGATGAGTATACAGATAAGCAACCAATCCCATCAATTCTCAAGACCCGAGGCCTTAAGTGGCCAGTAGTTCCCTTAGTATTTGTCCTGTGTTCAGTTTCACTCACTTGGACCTTTTGAATCTTGACAAGACGCCATATAGGAGTCCATCTTGTTTAATAATTACAGCTAGCACTAATTTTAAGATTTTTAAATTCAGTCTTCCATCTTTAGATTATTCACAGTTTTATTTTATTTTTTAGGAAAAGCACATGATTCTTCTCTTTCACAAAATCCTATCATGTCATAGATGTGACCCTGAGTTCTTGGTGAAGATGCCAACAGAGCTCAAGTTCTGGGAGACTCTACCAGATTTGTAAGGCTATGAGTGCAATCCCAGAAGCAGTCCTGAAATCCAAGAACAACCTTTCGACAAGCTAAGAATAGAGAAGCCGAAGGGTGGCCAATGGACGATGAATTATGGGTAGAACCAGCACTGATGGAGATTACCTACACGGAGGAAATCACAGATCCTCATTTTAAAATGTATATTGCAGGTTCTTAATATAAATCTTAGCCAGCTGGCATCACTGCTAAAGGTATCAGTCTTATTCTTCGACCAGGAAGTTTTCCTTCTTCTTAGAAAGCTTAGGAGAACAAACATTGTTTGCTAAAAAGACAATGAACTCCAGGCAGACAGGCAAAATCTACAGAATTTAAGAAGGCTCTATTTTCCACGTATTTCATGCCTTTTAAAAATAAGCACTTGGCAGGGAAACAGAACAGCAGCAGAGCCCCCAAAAACCCCAAACTCAAGGAAGGACACACAACAGAGAAATGTGCGTGAGAATCGCTACATCATTCTAATGGTGAACCGAAATTGTGTGTGTTGGCAGGAACATAGCCAAAACTGCTCTAATGGCCCTAGACTTCCTGGAATCATATCACTTTACTCAAATTGTAAATGTAGATAATGCCCTCTAAGTTTCTGTGTTAGAAATGAACAAAAGGAAGCCTGTAGCTTTTTTGGAGTGTGTGTCAGGAGCAACTTGAGAAACTACAAGTCACTTCTGGTGTGAGAGAATTGGCTGTCTGCAAGGACGTTGCCCAGGGAACGTCCGGATGTTTGATATTTTACCATCCTTGTGGGGGGTTTCTCTCATGTTCTTGCATAAGGAGTTAGAGCTGACAGAGGGAGCTCAACTCGCTCTCCCCGGATTTGAACCACTGACCCATCGGTCAGCAGTCCTGCCAGCACAAGGGTTTAACCCATTGCGCCACTGGGGGCTCCAGACTGCAGCTAAAGTGCCAAATGTTCATTTTCACCCTTGCAATAAATGGATGAATGAGATTCCCACTTGTAGTTTCTTCATACAGACAATGGACCCGATTTAAATAAATGTTATTATAGTTTGGAACTAATATACTGATATATTATTCTTTCTTCTGTTATCTGTTTTATGGTATTCTGTAAACTCAACAAAGCAGTATTGGTAATTATTAAACAAGAAAAGACAAAAATGACATATTACATAAAATGTTTTATTGTATTGAAAGCACTTTACAAATACTCTCAGTAACTGTTATAAGTTCTTTAGCCAGGCAGATTATTCCAAGTTATCTTAATGGCTGGATATACTACATAAGTATCAGAGGATGCACAGTGCCTTGTGGGAATAGTAATTCTTTATTGACTTTTCCAAACTGGGTGGTGCTACAACCTGGAAAAGTATTGCTTTTAATTGAGATCATTCCCACTTTCAACCATTGTGAAAGTGGAAAAATACTTTTTACTGTGGCACAAAAGTTTGGCAAAAACAAACTGGCATTTCTTGTTTGTACAAGCGCTTTGCTGTGACCCAAATGAATAAGCTATGGTGCAATCTACTCATTTCCAGATGCCATAGAGGTAGCTAAATGAAGTCCACCTCAAATACAAATACACACCATGCATCCTTGCAAATTTAGTTAAAAGGAAGGTAGGCCAAAGAGAAGGTTCCCATATGCATAAAGACAGATTTGGAAGCAGATCTCACCTCCACCCTGAGTACAGTTTCCTAACATGTACAAAACATTCATACATCTATATCCACATGAGCCTCCCCCCAATCATCTCATGTTTCTCTATTGCAGTGTTGTTGTCTAGTCTACCAAACTACCACACAGCTCTTAATTATTAGAACACTTGCAAGTCTTTAAAACAGAAGTTATTAGTATAGGTATAATGGTCACCAAGGATAGAGAGTACAGATTTGCTTTGTGTGGTTGACAAGAAAGTAGATACAAGAAGTGAATTGAAGAAATCATATGTAGATGGGGAGAGAAAGGGGTAAGTTTTAAAGAAGCAAGATTCAAGATTAAATTGCAAAAAACTAATAATTTTAAGATAGTTGATCGTTATTCAGTACACAAATGAAAGCACTTCTTACTAGCTCCTACATTTAGTCAGCTGGCTTCTGAAACAAAGACATGTATTACTGCATTTATATTTAATGGACAGAACCATGTCATTTCTTTTAAAGATAGTTAATAGTTAATAATAGCTAATAGCTACATGTGGGATAAAGGTAAAGGTTTCCCCTTGACATTAAGTGTAGTCGTGTCCGACTCTGGGGAGATGTTGCTCAGCAGCTCCATTTCTAAGCCAAAGAGCTGGTGTTGTCTGTAGACGCCTCCAAGGTCATGTGGCCGGCATGACTGCATAGAGCACCATTACCTTCTCGCTGGAGCGGTACCTATTCATCTACTCACATTTGCATGTTTTCAAACTGCTAGGTTGGCAGAAGCTGGGGCTAACAGCGGGAGATTACCCGTTCTCTGAATGCGAACAGCAGACCTTTCGGTCAGCAAGTTCAGCAGCTCACAGGTTTAACCTGCTGCGCCACACATGGAATAAAGGGCAGAAATATAAGAGGTCTTCGGAAATCTTAAAGTCAGTAAGGATGTTTCCCCTCCTTTCTTAAATGCAGGCTCAACGTAAATTGCATAATTTTATTAGATGATCTGCTATAATAATTTATAAAAGAAAAGAGAGATCTACTTATGTTACCCTTCTGATTGGATGCTGAGGAGGTGTTCACCATAGCTCTCAACCACCTAGACCACACTTAAGTTTACTCACTTGTTCTACGTGGGGTTTCTTGGCAAATGAGATCCTTGCTACTGAGTGGGAAGCTAAAGAAAGTTCCTGCCCATTCACTTCTCCTTCTTCCACCTCCACCAAACCTGGGTGAAGAAAAGGCATTATTAGTAACAGTGAAGTTTTAAAACTGGAATAGTAGACTCAACTACTGGGAAGAAAGGCTGCAGAATGCTTTAACTCCTTTTGGCGAAGTCAGATTTACAACGTAATATAAAAGTCCTAATGTAGTTAAGGTGGTACCTGTGTTCTGAGCACTGATGAAGGCCACCTTGTTAGTGTCAGGCTTGATACGGATAAATCCACATTCTCTGTGCATTGGTTTCCTGGTGTCTGGGTGGAAGGCGCTGAACCTGTGACAAATTGAGGGTGCTGACATTATTATGTTTCTATAAACAAATTTTCCATAGAAACTAGAACTCATCCAGCGATATTTTTAGCTTCCTTTGCAGAAAAGATAGATGGGCTGTATATATCCATGTACTCAAGTCGTTAAGAAGCACAATTCTCCATCCAGTTTTCTGAAGCCTTATTTAAGAACACTATTTACAGAAAGGTTATTGCCATAAAAAGTATTGACTCATAGGGCCCTGAAAACAAAGCCTTTGGCATATTTTCCATCTCTGGTATTTTGTATCATTCTTTTAATGCTGAGATAAAGAAACATGGAACTTTAGTAGACTATACTGAGAAATGAAATAGTAATTTTCCTCCTAAATATAAAATTTCCCATTGAACCCATTCTTAAACAATTAAACACTAAGCTATAACCTCCCTAATATCTCTCTCACAAACATAGTGTTACTGAATAACTTCCTTCATTGCATTTCTCCCAAGATATTCAAAACAAGAACACTGTCTACTTCTGACCCAGAAAGCCAAGAAGAGACTAACACTTTAAATCCCACTTCCCTCTCAATCCAATCTACAGGAGTCCAAAATGATCAAACTAGTGAAAATCTATCCCTGGGCAACTCTACATAAAGATTTCTACATATAAGAATACCCACATCTACATATTAGATTGCACTAAATTTAATGCATTTTTAAGTCTGACACTTAATATTTATATACTGTAACACACAATTATGATCAAAAACAAACAGCTTTGAGAAAATAATTGCCCGTACAATTAGAAGCTTCGGGGAAGATATTTATGCACTTACACAATACTGCAATATAAACAAATTCCCAATCCTTTCTGCAATTTTTAAACACTATAATCCACCACATAAAATTCCAGGAATTTTTTTTCTAAAACCAAATCAGAAACCAGTATTATATTCACAATTTCCCTTTTTGTTTATACATGTATGCCTTTTCCTCAAGATGAGAACAGATGTAAAGTGACTGATATTTCAAACATTCTTTGATGGGCTTAGAAGGCAATAAATCACACTTGTGATAACATGCTCGCCTTGCTTGATTTTGAGCAAAGCTTGTTTGAAAGACAAGTAGGTTTATTCAAAAAGTTAACAGAGGAAGGGAAGTCAAAAGTCTTTTATCACAGTACCCTCCACAACTTCTCCTACTCTCACTACAACACAGTCACAGGTCTTCCATTATACTCTTCTCAAAACTATACTATAGCCACTGTTGCTTGTTCACATTATTCTATGACATATCTTCATTTAAAAATATTTGTCATAACCACTGGTATCCAGTAATTCCATACTGGCAAAGAAAACGGCTAATATTTTAGTATACTTGGAAGAAGCCTCCCTTCTTATCTAAAAGCCTGACTTTTATCAATGTAGTAATACTTTTTCTATTGTTTTATTATTTTTCTAGCCTGTTTATAAGGCCCATGATTCTTAGACACCTCCATCAGTGTGTCTGTCTACCGCTATCTCCTCTATTATTTGTCTTCCTCTTTAAGTCTTCCTTGGTATGGGCTAAAAACATTTGAGAGGGAACAGGGTTCTTGGGGAATAAAATAAAAGCTTTAGATATATTTCTTTGCCTGTTCACTTACTACCTGGGAACCCAAGTTTGGATATTCTTTATCAGAATAATGCGAACCTCTGAAGGTGTTCTCTTCTCCCAGTCATACCTGAGGTTGCTAAATACTGAAATATGACTGCACTGCTGATTAAAAACAACTATAAGGATTGTTTTTGAATTTGATTTGCTACTTTTTCTATAAAAAGAAGAAGATGCTTTATTTATATCCCGCTCTATCTCCCCGAGGGGACTCAGAGAGGATTACAACATGCATAGATAAGCAAACATTCAATGCCTTTAACATAGTGAAATAAAAATGACACACAAATACACAGAACAAAGGCTTCCCCTTTTATCTCCTGGCTTCTGGAGGTGGTGCCCAACTCTGGCCATGGGGAGGTGCTGTTTTACCATTTCCAAGCTTGTTGTCCGTAGACACCTCCTGGTTGTGATGCCGGCATGGCTGCATGGGCGCCTTTATTATCTTCCTGCCAGAGCGGTACCTACTGATCACATTTGCATGCTTTCGAACTGCTAGGTTGGCAAGAACTACGATTAATAGTGGGAACTCACCCCGACCTGCGACTTCGAACTGCCAACCTTTAGGTCAGCAGATTCAACAGTTATCCAAACTTAGGTTGAGCCACTGTGGCCACTTAAAAGCAACCTTCTATTATATTTGAATTAATGTTTACCATTGCACTCACTGAAATATTCAGTGAAGTGATCTAAAATTAATAATTCAGCCAGTTTCATAATGATCAATATGGATTATTCTAAGAAACACCCCTTTCTCATGTGCCCCAAAATAAGACAACTCACGAGAAATTCAGCATGGGCTGTCCCACATGAGAGATGTGCACTTCCTCGAGGTACTGAAAGGGCTTCATTGTTGGGAAGGTACCATCTCCTGGTGGGTCTGAGAGCCAGGTGCCCAGCATCCACGATAGAGGCTCAATCACAGGATTCATCTGGGGGGTTTCTATGGAAAGAAAGAGACTGAGAACATCAGCAGGTTTTCAGACACCCAAAATCAAATTTACTACATCATGGCTGGCCATTAGGGCAAGCCACTTGGGAGCTGGTGGTCATGGTTGTCACAATTTTTGGGTTACAGCTTCCATTTTAGCTGTTTTTTGTCTTATTTGCCTTAGCTACCATCTCTTCCCTCTCCCCAAAGTTTTAAACATGTTTGAGCACATACAAACTCTGAGATGAAATAAGGTAAAAGTTCAAAACCTACAAATCACAAAAAGAAAGAAAGGAAGGAAGGAAGGAAGAAAGAAGGTAGGTAGGTAGTTCTGGTCAGGCAGCTGCATGCTGACTCTTCAATTTATTTATTTATTTGTTTGTTTGTTTGCGACATTTATATGCCGCCCTTCTCACCCCAAAGAAGACTCAGAGTGGCTTAGAAGATATATACACACACACACCATTATACCATTAGCACAGTACAATATCAGCGCTATACATCACTATATTGTACTATACAATTATATTGTAATATTGTTAGTATGTGATTACCTGAAATTGAAGAGGACAGAGCAGTAGACTGGTTAATGGGATGCCTCTTCTGCCTTTCCTCACTTAGCCTCAATAGCAAAACAAAACCTCTGTTGTCTGAGCTCGTGAATGTCAATAGGATCAGGGGAAGAGGAAGGGTGCAGGCTTTCTCTAAACAGTGTTTATAAGGTTTTTAAGGCAAGTATTGAGAAAACGAAACTGAGAATAGGACCAAATTATCACAGGCTATTTGAAATTGAGGTAAAAATGTGTAAAAGAAGACAATGATTTCTATGAAACTATATATGACAGTTTCTATACATAGTTGTAAAGGTAGACATTATTTTTGATAATTTAAGACTGAATTGTAATCAATTTCACCCAAATGAACACTAAGGTGGCCAAGCTGGCTGTATGAGTAAGTCAGTCTGCAAATAAGACAATCTTCAAACAAAAATTATCTTTAAAAACAGGACTGTATTTTGGTAGAACTTCAAACAGAACTTCTACCAAGCCATGCACTCTCGGTAAGTAAAATCTATCCACTCCTGCTGCTCTGATCAAATACATAACCATATCCCTATTCGTGTTTTTCTGTGTTTTTATGATAGAACCAATTAAGAAATGACATTGATAATCCAGGAACAAAAATCTTGTTACATAGTGTTGTTATTCATCCTTTTCCCTAGATCATGGTATTTAATCAGAATTTTTAAAAAAAATCCTCAATAGGGAGAAAAAGAGGCTTGCTAAATTTGGCAAATTTTTCCCAGCCATGAACACAACAGAGGGAGTACATTGAATTAAAGGAGCAGAAAATTCCTAAGGAAGGAATTAGGCTCTTCAATTCTTCAAATCATAGGTTGGTATTTATATGTGAAAGAGTTATCAGCATTCAATGTAGAGGGTTGATTTAGGGCAGTGGTTCCCAACCTGTGGTATGTGGACCACCAGTGGTCCACAAGAACTAAAATATGGTCCGCAGCCTCACCTTTACTATACCGTTGCAACGAGAGCGAGTGGTCTCGCGAAACCCTCTTATAGTGCTGAGGCTTATTAAATATGGTTTTCTGTGAGCAAGAAGATGGTGACTACTGGATGGTGTAATTTCCGTATTAGAAACTAGAGCTGATGTGGTCTATCCAATGCAATTTTCTGAATCAGCACCCCCAAATAACCAAACCAAATCTAAAGTTGACCAAAAACTGATTTGTATCGCTTTTGGTAATAATGTTGGAGAGTGGTCCATGGTCAAAAAAAAGGTTGGGAACCACTGTCATAGATCAATCCACTGAGCAGATAAAGAACTTCACAAGTTGTAATTCTACTGACCATGTTCTACAATTAAGTAGAATGTTTTATCTAATCTAAATCTGTTGGCTAGCAATTTAAGTGTATTACCTTTGGTATGTAGAAATGGGAAACAATGGTTTGTTCCGTCTCTAGCAAGATTCTTCATATTTGAAGGTTATTATCAAGCCTAACCTTAATCTCTCAAAACAAAGCATACCAAGTTCCTTTGTAATTTGGCATACTTTCTGCACTCTTCGTTGTCTTTATAAATCTCCTCTGAATGGGGCCAGATTTTGTACAGTGTTGGAAAGAACACCACATTGTCTGTATTGCTAATAGTCAAAACTCCAATACAAGTTAACAGGAAACCTGAGGACTGGGATCTCTTGTAACCAAAGTCTAAGTATACCTGGGCACTTATTGATATTTGTGTCCTGCTTGTAGTCATTACAGTTGTCCCTCCATATTTGTGGTTTTGACTTTTGCAGATTGGATTACACTGTGTAGCATGATTTTTGTTCCTGGGTTATAAATATTTCCTAATTGGTTCTATCATAAACACATGGAAAAAGTTTGTTATGTTTATAATATAGTTTGCTAAGTTTATTAGGACATCCTGCAGCATATTTTGCTATAATTGTTCAATTAATATCTCATAGAGTCTGAATTAATTCAACATAGTTTGTGGCAGTGGAAGTCAGCCATAGTGTCATACTGGAAAACCTCAAAATTAACAGGGAGGTGTTCTCTTAGTGAAAAAAACTAGTATTTTTTGTGTTTTTTATTTTCATGGGGGTCCTGTTTTTCTAGCCTCAATGAATGTGAAAAGGGTGACTGTGCTTATGTTCTACTATTACTGATATCCTTAAAACATCTCTTTAAGGATGGAAAAGTGGAACCTAATTCTCAGAGAAATGTATGATAGAAATATTTCGTCCAATATTTACACATATCATATATGATAGTCAAATGTTCAGAAAATGTATTTCTTTAATAAATAGCAGGGAATTTGAAAAATTACGTTTAAAGAATGATCAAAGACAAGTGCTGAGTAATTTGCCTATATTATGGGAATTAGAAGAAAAGTTTAACAAGTGGAAACTAAGATGAACTGATAAAAGAGGGGAACTGGAAAAATACAACCTTGATTTCACTATGTTGGAGTTTCAGGGAAGATTTTAAAAATTCCAGCACATTTTAAATTTCATCAATTTAGTTGATGAAAAGTGAATAAAATGCAATCCAAGACTTATTCATAATTGCTGGAGATATAAAAAGTAGCAGGCACAGATATTTGTCACAAAGACTTGTGGCAACTTTAAGGATTAAAACGTCTTTGAGATTAATTGATTTATCTTAGTACAAATTTTAATCCACTTCTACAGATACACTGATGGAGTGGTTTACTTAATGTCACAGGTATTTAAATAAGCATTACTTTTGGAGTTGGAATCAGAAGATAATGGCATACAGAATGACGCAAATTGTGATAATGCCCACAAAGCGATACAGGTCTGCCAAGCAGTTAGTTTGCCTGTTAGTCTTGAGGTGTTAATTAATATTCAAACATTATTCCAAAACAGGAATTTTTTCTAAGACTTATTCTATTACACCTACACCTGCCTCCTCGCAGGACTGCAAGACATCCGGGCGTCCCCTGGGCAACGTCTTCGTAGACGGCCGATTCTCTCAACCCAGAAGCAACCAGAGACGACTTGAAGCATGCAAACAAGGAAGCAAAACAACCAACGGTCCTTTTCAGGACCAACCATGACAATAATCGCAATCAACATCGAAGGCATGTCAGCTGCCAAAGAACAACTGCTCTATGAACTGTGCCGAGATAAGAAATGTGACGTGCTGTGTGTCCAAGAAACACACAGGGATGAACGACAGAAACGACCCAAAGTTCCAGGAATGATCCTAGTAGCGGAAAGACCACATGCGCAGTATGGAAGTGCTGTCTTTGTCAAACCAGGCCTCCAAGTCAGCAGTGCCCACAACACTGAAGAAAACAATATCGAGGTTATAACAGTAGAGCTTAATAACATCACCATCACCTCTGTGTACAAGCCCCCAAATGAAGATTTCTGCTTCTCCTCCCCCGAGAACTTTGACAGGCACCAAAGGGCGGTAGTAATTGGTGACTTCAACAGCCATAGCCATGTATGGGGCTATGCCCAAGAGGACAGAAATGGAGAGGCTGTCCTGTCCTGGTCTGAACTGCACAAACTATCACTCATCCATGATAGCAAGCTCCCACCATCCTACAACAGCGGGAGATGGCACCGAGGTTATAACCCAGACCTCTTATTTGTGAGCGACAGCATCGTACAGCAATGCACCAAATCAGTGGGACCACCAATCCCAAACACACAGCACCGACCAATAATATGCCAACTGTTCCCAACAATAAGGCCTCAGGAAGTTCGATTTAAACGAAGATACAACTTCAGAAAGGCAGATTGGACTAAATTCTCAGACATGTTAGACGACATGATCACATCGGTCGCGCCAATCCCTGAGGAATACGAACATTTTATTGAAATAGTGAAAACCTGCTCACGGGCCTCTATACCGAGAGGCTGCAGAACCCACTACCTCCAGGGCATTACTCCTGAAACAGCTGCCTTGTTGGAAAACTATTACAGGCTCCACAACGAAGACCCATTCAGTGAGCAGACTCTTCAGGCAGCGCAGAGCATTGTGTCCTCCATCTCTGAAGCCAAGAAAGAACAGTGGATCAAGTTGATCACAGAGGTCGACATGGGCAGGAGCAGCCAGAAGGCGTGGAGGCTGCTGAGACGGCTGAGCAACGATCCCTCACAAACTAATACCCATGCCAACATAAAGGCAGATCAGATAGCACACCAACTCTTGAAGAATGGGAAACCCAACCTTGCCACCAAAGTAGGAAAGAAACCAATAGCCAGACAACCAGAGATTGAGAACAACAACCTCCATGAACCCTTTACATCTACTGAATTGGACATGGCTCTCAACAAATGTAAGAATGGCAAAGCAGCTGGCTTGGATGATCTACGGATGGAACAAATCAAGAACTTTGGTCAAAAGCAAGGCGCTGGCTGCTGGAGCTGATGAACAACTGCACTGCATCCTGTCAGATCCCCAAAATCTGGAGGAAAGCAAGAGTCATCGCCATCTTGAAGCCAGGCAAAGCCCGTA